CGACCTCCTCTCCACCAAGTATCCTCCCTTGTACATAGCTTTGCGCCGATTACAACCAGTTACCATCATGCTACCAATTCGTACCCACGCGACGTCGCAGCACTACGCCGGAAAGCATGAACAGTGACGACTCGTCGAGCCTCTACGGCACTTCGCCCGGTGGACTTTTCGCGGTCGCCCGCCTCGCTCTCTGCACGGCAGCTCGCACAGCAGCATCCCCCGGGCCGCGATCGGCGAGCCGCAGCTCGAGTGTCGCTTCGGCGCGCTCGTATCGCAACACGAGCGGCGGCAGCAGCGGCAACGGTACCACTCACAACAACGGCACGGGAGGTCTGCCGTTGCCGAGCTTCCTCATGATGACGCCGCCCACACCCCAAGACACGATGGACCCGTCGGACCCGGTGCGCATCGACTCGCTGCGGCCGATGACCAGCGGGAGTCTCTCACCGTACGACTCGCCGGGCAGGGGCCGCAGCGATCAGACGCGCAGGCCGGCGACGCGGGGCAGCACGGGCAGCACGGGCGGTCGGTCGGATCTGGACCGGCGCAGGACGGCGGGCGGAGGCGGCTTCCTGCGGGACAAGCTCAACGCGCTGACGCACCGCATGCGGGAGGGGAGCAGCAGCAGCCAGCGGGAGGAGGAGGTCGCGGACGAGGGCAGCGGCAGCGGCAACGGGACGCCCGAGGCGCTCGGCAGGACGGGCAAGCGGCTCAGCTGGGCACCGGGGCGGACCAAGACGGGGTGAGGCGAAAAAGCAGAGGAGCAGGGACCGCCACGCCTGTAATTGGGAGAGGCGTACGTACGGAGAAGGAGGGCGGGGGAAGCATGGAGCATAATCAAGCATGGACCATCGGAGGAGGCATATTGCAGTACACATACATACATATGCGCGCGCACACATACATGGATCGGATCCATTGGGCACGGGAGAGGCGGCGGAGACGGAGGCGGAGGGGCGTGATGCCCCCGGCGTTGGGAGGGTGTTTGCATAGAACAGCTGGACTCAGCGAATGGATACTTTTTTTACTTTGTTGAAACGGGAGCAATGGCCGGATCATGTGTCCAGGTTGGGAAGCTGACTACGGAAACGGGCGGGCAGGCTGGGGTGCAGAGCTGGCGCCGGGAGATCAAGGCAAGGGGTCTGGCCATCCACGGGCATTCACCGAAGGCGCAGTTCGCCGTGGTCCATGGCGTGAACGGGGTCGATGGTGATCGGCAGAGGATGAGTGCTGGGTTTCAGGGTCTTTCTCAGGGTGTGAGGGTCTCTCTCAGGGTCTCTCCCAGGGTCTCTATTCATTCTAGGGATGCTCGGGTCTAGGTCTAGGTTCTAGAACACGATGATGTTCCGCAGAGGCCAGATCTGCCCGAGGAACAAATTCACAAGTCACCGAGCACGCTGACGATCCACTCGTCGTGGTCATCGTCGTCGCCACCATCTTGTGGAGCAGCATTCTTGTTCACCAGCCGGAAATGGGAGGCGGCAAGGGAGTCCTCCTTGGGAAAATCCACAAACCCGAAACCACACCGAGCCTTCGAGACCTGCCCGAACGAGTGCTCACTGCAGAAGGAGAAGAAGCCAGACGGATCCCTCGCCGTAGCGTAGAAGAGCGAGGCAGACAGACGGAAGGGACAGATCCTCGTTCGCCCTGCAGGCACCGGCGCCGGCTGCGTCCTATCGCCGATACTTCGTGTCCAAGAATGAAAAAGAGAGAGAAAAAAAAAAAAAAAACTTCGATCTGCGCTTCTCCCCCCTCCCCCGCAGCCACCGACTTCACTATGCGTTATCTTGCATGTCATCCCGGCCGCCACATCGCGCGGCTCGCGTCGCTCGAAAAGGCATGTGATTCTGCCACGGTACGCAACGAGAAGAGGCCACCGACCGGCTCACGGCACACGGCAGAGGGAGGGGGCAAAGTGGATACCTGACCCAGAGAGAGAAAAAAAAAAAGAAGAAGACACGATCGAACACCCCGAACAAGACGACGCAAAACTGTGGGATCGTGCAGCACGGATCGTGAACAGGCCAGGCCTACCTGCCTCTCTGGGCGCTGCTGTGCCCTGTAGCCTGCTGTACAAGGACTCTCCCATGGGTGCCGTCAAGTGGGCGCCGGGGCAGAGCGCGCCCTCTCTTACCCGGCGCCAGAAGCCTGCGTCGAATGTTCCACGTCCGATCTCATCTCCCTCTGAACCCTACCCCCGGCTCAGCAATCTGTTCCCTCCAATCTACCCTGGAGAACACATCACATGCCCCCCGGACCATGTCGTCCCTGGCGAGCGGAGGCCGTGAAGCCCTGAAGCGCAAGCGCGAAACGCGGTCCTTGACGGTGCCCCTCAAAGGAAAGAAAAATGTTGGGCATCGCTGCATGAGGCAGGCGGGAGACACTACCCCCGCTCCGCTCCTCTCCTTCTTTGCCGTGTCCTTGATGTCCCCGTCTCATCACGCCTGCCCTGCCCTGCCCTGCCCGAGCCCTGCTCATCCAGTCTTCCTCGTGCCCCGTCCCCTGAGAGAGAAGAAGGAAGGTACAAGTACAGCAGGAGAAACCTCAGGGAGGCAGGTCCCTGACGATCTCCTCCCCTCGAATCCCTGTTGGCACTTGCTCCAATCCCACTCGACACACACACACACACACACACACACACACACACACTGCCGCACGTACCCTAACCCTCCCTTGCCTTTCCCCATCGCACCAAAAAGGGTAAAGACAGTGGCAAAATTTTTCCCATCTCCCTCCTACTGCCGGACGGACAGCGGGCTCCCGCCGGCCCCTCCCCTCCCAAGCTCCCGAGCTCCCAAGCCTCCCCACGCAGGACAGGAAGTCAAGAGGTCTCTCCCTGCTCGCCCTGCCTCCTCCAGACATGTGAACGTGGAGTGGACCACAACAAGCCGGTCCGATTGAGATGGTGCCCGTAAAATCCTGCCTTCGTGTCCGCGTCCCAGACTGCCGGACGTCTTGGTCCGTCACTAGCCAATCCGGTCCCTGCCATTTGTGCACACTTTCTTGATTGGGACGTTTCCTGGATCGTGCTGCTACGCCGAACCGCCAGCCTCCCAGCAGCGGCCGACGAACACCGAGCTGGGCCCAAACGGAACAGGTTGGATGGGCGTCGCGAGCAGCCCGAGTGACTCAACTTGCTTGCCCCTCTAACCCCCACGAGAGCGGTCTCTCTGAGCCCAAGAAGCTCCCAGCCCAAGAGGCTCCCAGCCCAAGAAGCCTGCATTCACCGCAATTTTTCTTCTCACCGCACACCATGAGCTCGCATGGCGCGCACATTGTAGCAAGGAAACCCCGAAAACAATCTAGTGCAAACAGTACTGGTACTGGCCACTCCCGCCAAGCCGTATAGCCGTTCAATGACTCTCCTCATTCGTCCGTCCACGCATGCGACAAAAAAATGGAAGAGATCCCAAGGACGCGTTCCTGACATCCCCGCAAAAACCCGCCCTTCACAGGTCACCACAAACAGGACCCCTGCCGACGGCGCATCGGCATGGGAGCCCGACCAGGCACAATGGAACACGCCCATCACACACACACACACACACACACATGCACATAGACGCCGCGCGCGCACTCACACGTACTAGTCACGCCCCAACAGTCGGTAAACATATTGATGACTTGGTCAATTCCCGTTGGTATCCTACATCAAAATGCCATGCCTGATCCGTCGCTATGCATATGCTGAAATGCGAAACTAAAGAAAAAAAAAAAAAAGATTTAGCCCTCGCGGGCAGTGACATATGCGCATGCTGTTCGTGGTGCAATGAACACCGGGAATAACAAAAGGGGTTCGGCCATAAAAAAATGAAATCGTCGTATGTGTGTGGTGAAGCGCGTGCATTTTTTGATGGCGGTCATGTAGCACCGCTTTCTTTTGGGGTACTCATTCGCTCCTTTCGTATGCGCATGCGCCCCCCGGCCTTTTGGATTGCTCCCGTCGTGAGTACGGGCAAATAAATATTATGATATATATGATAATATTGTGATTATGCAATGAAGTTATGGACTAG